GGGTATGTTTAGCCTGGAGAGGAGACGACCGGGAGTACTTGAAGGGCTGTTGTATAGAGGAGGGGGCGGAGTTGTTTTCTGTTGCCCCAGAAGGTCAGACCAGAACCAATGGGGTGAAATTCAACCAGAAGAGTTTTCGGCTAAACCTTAGGAGGAACGTCCTGACAGTTGGAGCGGTTCCTCAGTGGAACAGGCTTCCTCGGGAGGTGGTGGGCTCTCCTTCTTGGGAGGTTTTCAAACAGAGGCTAGATGGCCATCTGACAGCAATGTGGATTCTGTGAACTTACGCAGATCATGAGGGGGAGGGCAGGAAAGGTTGCCTCAGTGCTTAGTTCATGTGGCCCTTTTTTACATGCTCAGGGAAATGCTGATTGCCACTTTGGGGTCAGGAAGCAATCCTGGAGGTTTTGTTGTCATCTTCTGGGCGTGGAACAGCAGTCACTGTGGGTGTGGGGGGGGTACTTGTGAATTTCCTGCCTTGTGCAGGAGGTTGGACTAGATGACCCTGGAGGTCCCTTCCAGCTCTATGATTCTATGATTCTATGACATTGGAAGCTGAAAATACAATTGCATTCGAAAAGAAGAAAAGTGAAAATCAGAGAAGAATTTATGTACACACTAAGCAAGCTATGGTTTAGGGCCTCATCTTATCAGGGGACTCTAAATTAAAGAAAAATACTAAAAATCACAATTTCTTGATAATGCACGGTGGCCTTTTAACCTTAACACAGTTTAGGGCCTCCGCATGACTTAATCCGGCCCTGGCTGTGATCCTCCTACGTGGCCATCATTTAATTCAAAAAAATGGAAAAGAATGTATTTAAAGTTGGTTCACCGTTCATATATGTGGTGTAGTGGTTAAGAGTGTCCGACTAGTTTCTGGGAGACCTGGGTTCGAATCCCCACTCCTGCCATGGAAGCTCACTGGGGACATTGGGCCAGTTACTCCCTCTCAGCCTAATGTACTTCACAGGGTTGTCGTGAGGATAAAATGGAGGAGAACGACGTAAGCTGCTTTGGACCCCCATTGGGGAAAAAGTGGGATATAAATGAATCAAAAAGAAATAAACAAACAAGTCTGGTTTTGCGCCAATAGCAGAAGATGCTCAAAATGCACCTGAGCTTTTAACCAGACATTGAGCTTTTCCGCAGTCTCCTTTTCATTGCTTGTAAGTTCTTGTTTCTTCGGGAGTTCCTCCCCCCACCCCCACCCCCCGTTCCACACATCTTTTGCTCTCTCACCAGTTTACGTCTGCCATATCTCCCTGCAGATTTGAACTGCAGCTTTTTATGTGGGGCATAAACCAGTGTGATGTCGCTTTGACCACTAGAGGGAGCAAAACACATGCAGAACACGGGAGAAAAACTTGAAGAAACAGGAACTTGCGGGCCAGGACAATGACTATGCGGAAAAGCCCATTGCCTACACGTGTCCAAAGGTACATTCGCTGTCAGGAGGAGGAAATGAAGGAAACTGTAGCTTTGCGGGAGCCAGAATTCTGCACCCAGTTACAATGTCTGTGACTTTGACTGTAAATTATGCACAACATTATGGACATAGATCTTTGCTATGGGAAGGGTCAACTCCATTGGGGTTTCAAACGAAAGCAATGACCCATCAAGAGGATGTATCCTTATCTTCATCATCCTCATCTTCTTCTTGGTTGCTCCTCTTTTTCCGCTTCTTCTTCTTCAGCTTGTACTTTAGCCTGCGGATGGGATCCGTGATGCTCCTCCAAGGCAGTTCCTCGAAATCCTCTGCCAGTCGGAAGTTCCTGTCCACCAGGTTAGCTACCTCCTGCCAGTTCTGGAAACAAGCCGGGCCAATTTCCTTGATCTCCTCTACTGCATTGGCAGCAATGACCTCTCCGTTTGGCTTCAGGACCACCACCACTGGCGGCTCCTTCACCAAAAATTTTAATTCCAGTTCCCTAGGAAACGACAAAGAAGGTAAGAGTGTCAAGAACGCTAATGAAGAAGACAGGCATGACAAAGGGATAAGTGATCATTTGATGTTCATTTATTCCCTTTGCCCTGTGATCATCTTGGGGTCAAACGACAGATGATGCGTGTCAAATGGAAGATACAGATAACCAGGGCTATTTTTTGGGCAGGAACGCACAGGAACAGAGTTCCGGCTGGCTCCCGAGTTGGCCACGCCCAGCAGAAACTCATTAGCATAATAGGCCACACCCAACAGCAGGAACTCATTAGGATTGGCTACATTAGCGGTGTGTGGCCTAACATGCAAAGGAGTTCCTGCTACAAAAAAGCCCTGGGTTTTGACAACAAACAAGGTAAGCAAAATAAGAAGCAAAAGGTGGGTGTGGCTGGATGAGCACACTTCTGGTAACGTGCGGGAGGAGAAAAGAGCCAGAGTCCAGTAGCACCTTAAAGACTAACAAATTTTGTTGGCAGGGTATGAGCTTTTGTGCGTCACTGCTCACTTCTTCAGTCTCTTTCTAGCAATATCTGAAGAAGTGAGCAGTGACTCACGAAAGCTCACACCCTGCCACAAATTTTTGTTAGATTCTAAGGTGCTACTGGACTCTGGCTCTTTTCTCCTCCTGCAAAAGACAATAATGCTAGGAACGGTTGAAGGCAGCGGGAAAAACGGAAGACCTGACATGAGATGGGTTGACTCAATCAAGGAAGCCACGGCCTTCAGCTGGCAAGACCTGAGCCAAGCGGTGAACGATAGGATCTTTTGGAAGTCATTCATTCATAGGCTTTATGGCACATAACACACCCACCCACCAATGCTCCCTCTAAGCTGTGGAGTCTTATGAGCAAAGATTCTACTTTGTGAGCTGCTGGCATTAAAGTTGTGAGCGAGCGACTTGGCTACTGCATAAATTTAGGTTGCTCCGGAGCCATCCTTCCTGAGTGAAGAGAAAAATGTAGGGTTGCCAGAACCCCCCCCCCCAGGTTTGGCGGAGGTTTCCCGATTTGAAGGGGCTCCTACCTGCCCACCAGCCAGCTGGTGGGGGAAGCCCCGCACCCATGAGTGACCACCTGACCTCTTCCTAACAGTGTTTAAATGCTGCTGGGGAGAGGTGGGGTCTGTGCACCTGCACTCTAAGCCCCGAATTCGGGACTCGGAGTGCAGGCATATGCAGCCTTCCCCTACCTCTCCCCAACAATGTTTAAAGGATGTCTTTAAACACTGTTGGGGAGAGGGGGCTGCGTGCCTGTACTCCGAGCCCGAATTTGGGGCTCGGAGTGCATGTGTGCATGGTCTCCCCCCCACCTCCTCCCAGCAGCTAAAGAGACCCTTTAAACACTGTTGGAGAGAGGCGGGGGCCTCCGCTCCCCAACATGATGACATCACTTCTGTGTGATGTCATCACTCTGGGAACTCCCCACCTCCTCCAGTAACACCCCCCCAAAGTCCCCCGTTGGGGACTTTGAGGGACCTGGAAACCCTACAAAAATATGTGAGCCAGGGGCTAAAAACTGTGAGCTAGCTCATACACTAACTCAGCTTAGAGGGAATACTGACACACACTGCTCTGCCCAAACTGTAAAGCTCTTACTTTTTTAATTCATCCAGAAAGGGCAAGAAAAACCATCTCTTGGGCATTTTCTTCAGGAACTTGTCTTGCTTTTCCTCCGTCTCATCCAGAGACACGTAGATCAGGACCAGCTGGGCGGATCGCTCCACGTAAAACTCATCCGTGAGTCTCACAAAAAACTCTTTCAGGATGGGCACGAACTCCTGGCACTGAGGACATTCGCCGGAGCCGAAATACAGCAGGATCACCTTATTCTCCAGCGCTCGGATGAGCTCGCGTTCCAGTTCCAGTTCGTCATTGTCCCAGTTGTTTTTAATCAGGGTCTTGTCAAGGAAAAGGGAAACCATCGCTGCAGCCTTAGTCGAGGGCTTTGAGCTAGAAGAATCATAATTAGAATGAAATAAGGCCCACAATAATATTGTACAGGTGGGATGGCAATGCTCCCTCTAAGCTTGTGGAGTCTTGTGAGCAAAAATTCTACTTTGTGAGCCACTGGCATTAAAGTTTAAAGTCCAGTGGCAGCTTTAAGACCAACAAAGGTTTATTCAAGGTACGAGCTTTTCGTGTGCAAAGCACACTTTTTCAAATACAGTGGAATGGTAGGTGAGGTTCAGACTTATAGATGGGCTGAGCAGCTAATTAACATATAACACAATGAAGATGTTTTAAGCTATGCAAAAACAGAATTAAATAACAAGCTAAGGTTATAAGGTCAACAGCTGTAAAACAATAAATATGCCAAAACGAATGCGAGACTCTCCATTCCCTCTCAGAGCATGGAGGTCACTTAACAGCATATTTACTTTCTCAAGGTGTTAGCAGTGTATGTCAGCCAAACAATTCAATAGTCCTTGTATAACATTCAGTATCCTAATATGCTATTCTGAAAAAGAAATACACTAAAATACAGAGGATGTATAGTCCCTCTGTAGGAGAATACATACGGGAGGACTGAATGAGTTAGCATATGTAATGAGATAAGAAACCAATATCCCTGTTGAGTCCTGGGGAGGTCTTTGTTCCAAGTGTTGTAGTAACTTGTAATTCAGCAATTCAAGCAGTGGCCAAATCGCTCGCTCACAAATAACAAGCTAAGGTTATAAGGTCAACAGCTGTAAAGCAATAAATATGCCAAAATAAATTTGAGACTCTCCATTCATTCTCAGAGCATGGAGGTCACTTAACAGCATGTTTACATTCTCTTTCAAGGTGTTAGCAGTGTATGTCAGCCAAACAATCCAATAGTCCTTTTTAACATTCAGTATCCTAATATGCTATTCTGAGAAATAAATACACTAAAATACAGAGGATGTATAGTCCCTCTGTAGGAGAATACATACGGGAGGACTGAATGAGTTAGCATATGTAATGAGATAAGAAACCAATATCCCTGTTGAGTCCTGGGGAGGTCTTTGTTCCAAGTGTTGTAGTAACTTGTAATTCAGCAATACAAGTAGTAGTTCAGCAACTTGTAATTCAGCAATTCAAGCAGTGGCCAAATCGCTCGCTCACAACTTTAATGCCAGTAGCTCATAAAGTAGAATTTTTGCTCACAAGACTCCACAGCCTATAGGGAGCATTGCTCAAGGCACTGTATCCTACTGAGGGTTCCTGTTCTCCCCAGGCTCCATCCCCAAATCTCCACTTTCCCAACCTGGATCTGGCAGCCCTACCCCCCACCAGCCTCGTAGCCAGAAATTTTGGGTTGGCGAGGCATGGGAAAATTTTGTGATGCAGCAGGGGAGGGGAGTGAGGGGGGAGGGAGAAGTGCAGCCACACGCCTTCCCTGAACTCCAAGCGGCAGTTTTGCCACTTGGAGTCCAGGGAAGGTGTGCGGCTGCCCCCTTCCTCCTTTCCTACAAGATTTAAAGAGCCCTCCAGCTCATTGGTGGGCCATGTCCTCCCGCCATCAACTGGAGGGCCCTTTTAATGTCACAGGAAGGGAGGGAGGGGGAGAGGGGCAGCAGCGGTTGTGGGGCACGCTTTGCATCTGAGGGGGTGGAGCCCCAGAATGCCCCACTGTGACTATGGGCCCGCCCCTCCACCCCCCACCGGTGTCCGGGGGGACCTGGCAATCCTGTGTACAGTGCAATCCTAAGAACACTTTCTTAGGAGGAATCTTCACTGAATAGATCTATGTAAGATTCTGAATAGACCTGCTCTGTTAATATTGCAAGGCGGAGACTGTTGCTTTTTTTTAAAAAATGAGTTGGCCGCCTGACCTGGATGGTCCAGGGTAGCCTGATCTCGTCAAATTTCGGAAGCTAAGCAGGGTTAACCTTCGTTAGTACTTGGATGGGAGGCCACCAGGTAGGTCCAGGGTTGGTATGCATATCAGCCCCGTAGCTAGAAAAAATTTTTGGGAGTGGGCCTCGGGGGGCCTGCCAGCTAGTTAAATTAAATTAAAGTACAGTGCAGGGGGTAAGTTAGAGCAGCCCAAGGGAGGGGGCACAGAAGAAACACTAGGGGGTCAGGCCCCGTGGGCCCCATGTTAGCTACGGGCCAGATGCAGATGCAGGCAATGGCAAACCCCTTCTTTTTGTCTCTTGCCTTGAAAACCCCATTAGAGGTCTCCATTCATTGGCTATAGACTCAATGGTACTTTCCACCACCACTGATCTGGTCCCATGTATAAGCCTGACTTTGTCCCTATCTGAAAGGCCATAAATTAGGAGCAAATAGCTTGCAAAAAGTACAATCTTTCTTAGGTCAGACGCCATATGATAGATAGATAAATAAATAAAATCACTTAGGTCAGGAATGCAGCTGAGAACCCGTTAAAGGCATTCGATTTCTGCAGTTTTGCCCAAAAGCTGTCCCAGAGATAAAGTGTGGTATTAAGGGCAGAGTACAAAGACCCCGGCTAAAGTTCCAGCTCACCTCCGAAGCAAGCTAGGTGACCTTGGGACCGTCACCTTTTCATAGCCAAACCTACCTGAGATCAATGTTCCCTCTAAGCTGTGGAGTCTTGTGAGCAAAAATTCGACTTTGTGAGCGACTGGCATTAAAGTTGTGAGGGAGCAATTTGGCTGCTGCATCAGTCAGTTTGCTCTGGAGCCATCCCTTCCTGAGCTAAGACAAAAAAGTGTGAGCCGGAGGCTAAAAAACTGTGAGCTAGCTCACACTAACTCAGCTTAGAGGGAACACTGCCTGAGATGGCTGCTGGTGGGGGCATAGGCAGGCAAGGCGGGATATAAACCAAAACTAATAAATAAATAAATAAATAAAAAAGGGGCCACTGCTCTTGTCTCTTCCGTCACATGGCAAGGGGTGGATTATACTGCGACTGACAAAATGATTCCTGGTTTGAATCAAGGCCATTCCTTGAAGCTCTCAATAAACACAGCGGCATGAACAAGTCAACGACTATACATCAATGCTCAGGGAATAGAAGGGCCCTGGGAGGGTCCTAGCAAGGCAGTCTACTCTACGCATCTCAGTGTTACTACGGCCAATTTTTCTGTACCTGGCAGACGTTATCCAGCTTTCTCCCAAGGACGGCACTCGACAGTCTCCTTGCTAAATGGACAAGATGGTCATGCTTTGATCCAGCTCACTTTGAAAATACCTCCATGCCCAGAAGAAAAAGCCTAGGGTCGCCACCCAGTTGGGTGCCTCATGTCCTCAAGGAGAGATCCTTTGTTCATTCGAGGAGGGATCCCCAGAACAGTTGAGCAGGGACCGGTTTCCTTGTTTCCCTTCCACAGCTTGGATCACTGGTGTGAATAACCTTCCCTGAGAGGTTTTACCTTCTTGCCTATTAATAGAATAAATAGCCAGGGCTTTAATCTTCTTAAAGTGGACCTTTGGAGGTAAGATGGCCAGTGCTTGCAAGGATTTGTTCCTGACCTTGGCAGCTTCTCGAACTGGCAGTGATCTTCGAGCAAAGAGCAGTTTCCTTCCTTTCTCTGCACCACCTTCTAGAAATTCTTATTACTGAACAGATAGAGCAGCCTGTGCTACACTGACGGCAAAGTCTGGCTATCTGCGGCCCTGTGCTACGAGATTGTGAGTGATGTGACCCCTGTGATGCAACAGGTCTTTAGGGGAAAAAACAACACAAGATGAAACTGACACCTAAAACGGTCTGGTTGTTTCGAAGTATTGCTCTTCGGAGACATCAGTGTGCATTATGATTAAAACGATTAAAGGGATGAAACACCTCCCCTACGAAGAAAGGTTAAAGAGGTTAGAGCTCTTTAGCTGTGGGAAATGCCAGTTGAGGGGTGGCATGATAGACATCTACAGAATTATGTAGGGGATAGAGCAAGGAGGGAAAGAAATACTTTCTTCCCTTTCTCACAATAGAGGAACTTGTGGGCACTCAATGAAATTAAGGAGTGGTAGGCTTCGAACAGATAAAAGGAAGTACTGCTTCACTCAAAGAGTCATGTGGAATTCACTGCTGGAGGAAGTGGTGGTGGCTACAAGCACAGACAACTTCGAGAATGGGTTGGATAAGCATATGGAGTAGAGGTCCATCAGCAGCTATTAGCCACATGGTATAGATGGAACACTCTGTCTGGGTCAGGGATGCTGTGTATTCTTGGTCCTTGGGGTGTGTGTGTGCAACAGTGGGAGTGCTTTTGGAGTTCTGGCCCTACTGGTAGACCTCCTGATGGCACCTGGGTTTGAGCCACTTTGCGACAGAGTGTTGGACTGGATGGGCCATTGGTCTGATCCAACATGGCTTCTCTTATATTCTTATTTTTAAAAATGTGCTCATATAGGACATGTGGCGCGCATATCTTTCCCCCTGTGCATAAGCACATTTTTCAGACCCGCCCTTAGTTCACAGCGCAATCCTAAGAAGCAGGGGTCATTTCGTAGGAAAAGAGGTGCAGGAGCTCATTAGCATAACTCATTTGCATATGCCACACCCCCTGACATCACTGGAAAGTGTGTCAGAAGGCAACCCCCACTGCTCAGGCACCACTGGACTCTTTTGGATTGCTAGTTATTGGGGGGGGGACCTTGCAGATCTGTCCTCACAGAGGAGGGAGAGCTTGTACCTGAATAAAACTTGGTCTTAAAGGTGCCACTGGACTGTTTTGGAATGCTAGCTGGGGGAGGGGGGGATGCACAGATCTGCCCTCACACAGATCTGTGCAGAGAGAGAGAGAGAGAGAAGGAG